TCAGATAGGATGAGGTATAAATAAACACCATTCGAATTCAAGTTATCAGTAGAAAGAACTGGACAAAATGATCGTTAAAGAAGGGATGACTACCTGTTATTCTTTTTGCCAAAATAATATTTATGTTGTCACAGTTCTAAAGACTCAGATGATAAAATTGTATTCTGTTCCTTTACATAATCCATTTGCCACTTTCTGAGAGCCCTCACAGCCCAGGCACAACGACCCAATTATCAGGGGCGCACTCTGCCACTGAGCTAATAGCCCACCGTGCAGGAAATGTTTGAAAGTTATTTTAGGTGACTGGAATTGTTCTAAAACTGGAGAAGAATCTATGGTTGATCTTCGTTTTCTAAATGTCACAAACTAATAGAAGTTTGTGTAGCACTACGTAACCCAAGTTATGATACCTAAGGCCTCTAGTGATGATTTCTAGAACCCCAGTAGTGTGATGTTTGTAGTCTCTTTTCTTTCCCTAAATTTCTCTATGAATATGACATATCAGAGTCTTACAACAATCAAAAGACCTAGTTCAAACAAACAAAATACTTTTCACTTATTATTCCACTTGTCATGAATCAATATTATATCTAGAATTTCACACGCACACCCACACAGAGATACACATGGGCAGTCGTGTATGATAAGGTGATGTTTCAAAAAGCTTTCTGTTTTAAGCATTGAAAACTTTTTGGCGTCTGGCTATAGATTGATAACTTTTAGGAGAACCATTGTTCCATCAAACTTATCAGCAAGGTCCTTGTGTAGCATATTCATATACCGAAAGTTAACTTTTTGGGTTTTCTAATTCTGAAAATGCAGATGGGGGAAGTAGTTAAGGACTTAGCAGCTGGGACTGTTGGAGGGGCAGCGCAGTTAGTAGTTGGCCACCCATTTGATACCATAAAGGTTAAACTGCAAAGCCAGCCTACTCCGCTCCCAGGACAACCTCCGAAGTTCTCAGGTGCTTTTGATGCTGTCAAGCAGACATTAGCTGCTGAGGGGGCAGGAGGTCTCTACAAAGGAATGGGAGCTCCACTTGCCACTGTTGCTGCCTTCAATGCTGTCCTCTTCACAGTAAGGGGGCAAATGGAGACATTATTGAGGTCTCAACCTGGTGCCCCACTTACAGTTAGCCAGCAGGTCATTTGTGGGGCGGGGGCTGGAGTAGCTGTGTCCTTTCTGGCATGCCCCACTGAGTTGATCAAGTGCAGGTCAGTGTAATGGCTATTTTCTATTTAAAATTGAACATGATTCCAATTTTCAATACATTGTCGAAACCTGAAGTTTGGTTCATCCTCATGCCTACATTCTCTATTTGGCGCTTGCTCAATATATCTGTAGCCACTCTATACTAGTTTTGTTCCTTGAAGGAAATGTTAAACACCTTAACCTATTCCTTTCCTTTTATTTTGTTTTTCAATCAAGGTGTAAGGTTTGTATGTACAGATTGATTCGTATCATTAAAATTAGCTTTTTAGTGAAAAAGTTTAAATTTAAATTTCATCACTTTGCCATTTCAAATTTCAATAAGGAAACAAGAAGCCTTACGTACATTCTGTTTGGATTTCATGGTAGAACAGGCTGCAAGCCCAGAGTGCATTGGGGGACGCTGGCTCAGTGAGTGGCGCAGTGAAGTATGGAGGGCCGTTGGATGTGGCCAAGCAGGTACTTAGGTCAGAAGGTGGTGCGAGGGGTCTGTTCAAGGGCTTGGTTCCTACCATGGCACGAGAAATACCTGGAAATGCTGCAATGTTTGGTGTCTACGAAGCCCTCAAGCAGTTCTTTGCTGGAAGCCAGGACACTTCCGGGTTGGGAAGAGGATCTCTGATTGTAGCTGGAGGATTGGGGGGAGCAGCCTTCTGGGCTTCCGTCTACCCAACTGATGTTGTCAAGAGTGTACTTCAGGTAGATGATTTCAAAAATCCCAAGTATTCGGGGTCAGTTGATGCCTTTAAAAAGATTCTTGCCTCAGAGGGAGTCAAAGGCCTCTATAAGGGCTTTGGACCAGCTATGGCTAGAAGTATTCCGGCTAACGCAGCATGCTTCTTGGCATATGAGGTCACAAGGTCAAGTTTGGGATGATAATTTGTTTTCGGGCTATTTGGTCGCTGTGGAATCAGTAAACTTTGATTAGTTGTCTTCGTTTTCTGATTCAGAAGCAGTTTTTCTATACATTGAACCTGTGGTTGGGTACTAGTATCCTCCATAATTTGTAATAACAGTTCTGTTGCTGGAGGAGACATTCTTTTACCAATCTCATGTTACATGCACTGGTATTCTCTTCTTTTCTTTCCCTAGAAAGTGGATTCTCTTGCAGATTTCTTGCGTCCGACGTCGGAATTCGTCGAATCCAAATTGGTTATCCAAATGCTGAAATGCAGCCTCATTTTAATGTTAGTTTGAAGATCCAAGTTTTAGGTTCAACACTCCAGATTTCTCCTATATATTCAATCTTTCAAAATCTTATTCTACCCGATTGCAAAAGTTCCAAGCCCACCTACATCATTTGCTGGAGAAGGTCATCGCAAAATTTTCTGGCGGCCGAAATTCCTCTTGAATATTTTTCCAGTCAAAGGAATTTTTTCCAGTCAAAGGAATTTTTTCCGGCTGGAATATTTTGTCCGATGAGAAAAATTCTTTTTCCAGCCATCGGAGCATTTTATTATAGAAAATTACATGTGAGACTATATTCAACAGATAAATTACATGTGGTTGCTTTAGGCAGTGCAAATTGTTGATTTCACATGTATATGCAATAAAATTAGAGAATTTTTAACGTTTTACAAGATTTTTTAGAAGTCATTGGCGGACAGTGACCTGAAAGTGGACTGAATAAATATTAATAAAGATAGTGCATACCAAAAGTGGTTGTTTAGTCTAGTTCAACAAGTTGTTTTTTACTTTGAAGTTTTGAGTTCAAATCTCATTGAAGACATTTTAAAATCATTTTTTATGTAATTATTATGAAAATTAAGAAAATACCATGGAGTTCATACAAAATAAATTATAATCAATTAGGAATGAAAAGATAGTTTGGCTGTGATTGGTGAGATTGGAACATTTGACTTCTGATGATTGACAAATTGTCTCCATGGAATGAGAGGAAGGAAAGGGATCCTCTCCTTCCTCCTAATCCACCAAATCAGAAAATTTGTGTCATTAAAATTTGATCTAACGGTTATGATGAGTAGATTTTATATTATATATTTAACCCTATTCTTAGTATATTTTGGTTAATATTTTGGGAGAATTTTGATACTTTGAATTGTATTTTCAAAATAGGATTTTTGACTTCCTGTGGAGCAAAACATGGTCAAACAGACGAATTTTGGAGTAATTCTAGTTGGAGGACGTTCGTGAGTCGGTTAGCTTGATCGTATCAAAATATCAGATTTTTCTACCTGATGATTTTTTGGCAATAAAATAAGGAGCAATGTGCAGTGTTGGAATAGTGATGTTTTGGGCTTGACTTGTGTTTTTGGAGCCCAAGATGACCTCGGATGGTTTCATGGCTTTCTAGAGGTGTGTTTGGAACGTTCTGATATTTAAAACAAGCTATCTTGGGCTGGACTTGGAGGAGATTTGAGGCTAAAACGTGGCTGGACAGTTTCTGTGCAGATTCTCCTAGCTTAATTAGGACTCTATTTTCTAAATTATTTTATTTTATTATTTAGTTTCCTAATTGGAGAAAAACACTAGGGTTTGTGCGATAGCTAGAGGGGATTTTAAGGCTTTTGTTGTTCTTAGTTTTCTTGCTACGCTTTCTTTTATGCAACTTTGGAGGCAGAGAGTAATTGCAAGGGTTCTTGGAGATTTTCTACTTTAAGGTGTTTTCATTCCTTTTATTCTTAATAATATTTTTATGATTTTAATTATGAATATGTGTAACTAATTCCTTATGCTAGGGCGAAACCTTGAGCTTTAGCATGAATATGTGATTTTTATTTAATTGTTTATGATTGATTGCATGCACACTTTGAATTATTAATCACCGTGATTAAAACTATCTAATTGTCTTAATGCCTGATCATCATTATGATCTTTAGAAAAGTAATTTGATGCAATTTTTGTCGGAAGGTTCCCTGAAATTGACACTAGTTTCTTGTGGTTAATAATTGTAATTTCACTTAAGATGAACACCACGACTTAAGGGTTGCATGGTTTTTCAAAGGGTTTTCATAAAACTTAATGAGTCTCTCATGTTCATATTTGATCCGAACGTCCGGACGGATTGCATGTTAGATATACGTTCTATGTTGAAGGTTCCAAGTAGGATATATATTAGGAAAACCTAACCTTCAAAGTGGCATGTGTAGATCATAAGTTATTGGTAAAAATGCATAAGATTGCTAGGTGATGATGGAACCCTAGTGCTTTTATAAATTGGTATTTTAAAAACTGTTTCTTTTTTCTTTCAGCTTTAATATTGCAGATTGTTTTATTTTTATTAATTAAATTCGTTTTATTAAATTAGGTCATAAAAAACAATCATCTCAAATTTTTGTTTTACAATAATTAATTGGAATTCGGTTTTCTTTGAATTGTTTAATAATCCCTGTGGAGAATGACCTTGCGAGAACCATTTATACTACAATATCCTTGTCATTGTTGAAAGTATTATAGGAGTTTTTTTTTAACCCATTTGCGTGTGTGGTAAATTCCCTATCAATACAAACAGAGGGTCACTTTAAAAGTTATAATAATTGCAATCGTTCGATCAAATTTTAATAGCACGAATTCCCTGATTTAGTGGATTAGAAGGAAGAGATCCGGAGAAGAATCCCATTTCGTTTTTTTGGTTCAATTTTTAATTAGGTTCTGTTCCGTAATCGGTTCATTTTTTATTTTATAAAATAAGAGAGACAATTGGTGATAAATTACGGTTAATCATTCTTTTTTTTGTCTAAAGTGACTATGAAAAATTTCACATTGCTTATGACCATTATAAATACTAGTAATATGCCCGCGCGATGCTGCGGGACTTGAATACATCAGCCTTAACTACATGAAAAAGACACATTTAACCTGAAAAACATTCAACATAATCATGAACAAACAAAAAGGATAAACAACACAGAGTCTACTGTTGCTGCCTCAGCAGCATCTTGAACGGGTAGAATACCAATTAACCCCTTCTGTTCCTGCTGCCATAACTCATGCTCTACCAATTTGACCAATTTTATCAATTCGATAATCCACCAGTTAGAAAAACCCAACTTACAAACCGCATAACGATCAATTACCTAGAAAAAGGAAAAAGGAAAGTTGGCATTTGAAATTAACTCTGGTCAAATTGAAGAATAAAATATGCAAAATTTTTGCAGTAAAAAGTAATAACGTATGATCCTTCAATGTTTCACCCATAAAATTCCAAATCTATCAATGTTTCACCATATAATTCCAAATCTATAAACACAAAAACGCAGAACAAAGTAAAATTACTTATAAAACCGTGTGCGTGGGAAGCATTTTTATCAAACAGGTAGTGGGCACTAAGCATTCAATTTGACATAATCGAGCTCATCTACACTTGTTTATCCATTGAACAAAAGAGACACTATGAATGTAAATGTTGTTTTTAAACTCAAATCGGACGCGTAAAAGTACTCTTAACATGGTTCGTAAATTTTATTTCATCAAGTGATTTCAAAATTCAACAAATTGAATAAATCAAAACACATAAGAAATATGAAAAATTACATTTAGAAGAACTGGAAGACAAATTTACATTTTTGGGTTTTTTTTTTTTTTTTTTTTTTTGGTACCCTCCACCACCCACACAAACACAAACACACACACCAGGTTTCGAACCTGGGACCTAGAAGGAATAATACCATCCCAGAAAACTCGTGCATCCTCTCAACGAAGCTTTGCTGGCTCTCTATTTTTCTCACCTGCAATTAAGAGTCTAGACCCCCTAATTTATCAATAAACAAATAAACATTGTTAAAAACCCAAAATTACCCAATTGGAATAATGATAACAATTGGACAAAGCAGAAGAAACCGTAGAGAATCAACAGTTCAGAGTCCACAACCTGATACTTTTACCGAGTTCATACAGCTAAAGGAGCAATACAATTACTAAATTGTAAAGAAAAATCTTCAAAAAATAGCATCTAATAGCACATCAGATAGTAAACTTGGAATTAACTACAGATTCTGCAAGACAGCATTTAAGATAGATGTGTAAACAATATGGAATCAAATCTCCACCTAAATGGGTTGTTGGAGAACCTGCAATCCTTGAAAATTGTTGTAATTCAAATCCAAGTAATTAAGATGATTCAAATGGAGCAAAAAGGATTTATCTTACCACCCAACCAAGTATTACTGTTGTTGAAATTCCAATCATAGAGGTGGAAATCCTACTGAAAATTGGGATTAGTGAGGCGAAGTTGAAGGATCTTGATATGTCAAACGACAATTTAAATAAAGATATATCCGTTATGTTTGAGAGTTTGTCTATTTGTAGTTCGGAGAAAATAAAGTCATTATCGTTGGGGTTTAATAATCTTTCAAGCCATTTTACAGGACTCTTCCCAGTTCAATATCAAGTCTCATCCCAGTTTAACAGGACTCTTCCAGAAAGTATTGGTCAACTTAAATTGCTAATTAAATTAGATATATCTCATAATTCAATGAAAATTAAACATACCAGGTGAGCAATACCAGACATTCCTGCCTTCAAGCAACTGGATATTGTCTCCATGTTCAACTAAACCTCCACAGAAAACTGCAAAAAAAATGATGAGAATCATTTAGAAACGGGGAAAAACCGATATTAATAAATAAAAAAGAAGTCGGAGAAAAAATAGAGAGAAAACACTTCCTTTTGCAGAGCCATCCTCTTGATTTACATAGCTAAAAGGTAGCGTTTAATGACAATTAAACACGCATTTAGTTCCTCCATGTTTTTTACATAATCTCTTTTTATATTTGCAAATATAACTTTCAAAACCGAAACTCTCTCTAATTTCACACAAAAATGTAAATTTGCACAGTAATTACTACAATTTGAAGCAAAATTCAAGTTACCCAATACTCCAATTCAACAATTAACAAAAAAAACCAATATTCCCAACGAAGAAAACAAAACACAAACAAATGAAACCCAAAATAAAGAATCTACACTTTGTAGAGAAAGATAACTTTACCTCCCTCCATGCACAGTAATTGAAATTCCAGATAATGGGTTTGTTGGGTGGTGGCGGTGATTTTGCTGCAAGAGAAAGTTGGAGAAAATGGACAAAAATGTTAGTAAAATGAAGAACAAAAACCATTAATCAGACAACCCAAATTCAGTTTTCCATTTAGCATTTTTCCAAAAGAAGGCAATCAATTGCTGACACATGTAAAAAATCAGAGTTTGAAAACTAAAAATCAAGCAAGTTGAGGAGCAGAAGCAGGTGACTGTGGACGATACAGAAGTTTTTTAGAGAAGATCAAAATATATAATCTAGAAAAACAAATAAAGCAGCCAATCCAAAGTTAAATAAACAGAAAGAAAAAAGGGGAGAAAAAGACAACCTGAATTCAAAATGTTCCACATGCTGTATTCAAATTGATTACAAAACGATTACATATCTGAAATTGATATCAACTCACCTAAACACTTCATTTTCTATATTCTATTGGGTTTAATTTTTTTTTTCTTTTTTTTTTCATTTTTACCATACCAATCTGTGCATTTTTCTGTCAGTATGCCTTAACTTTTGAGTCACTATATACACCTACTATATAACCCCCCCCCCCCCCCCCCCCCCCCGGCTCTCTCTCTAGCTATCCTTTTAAATAGCTTTATCATAAACCCATGCTCACTTTCACCCAACAACAAAAGAAACAGAGGAGAAAGGAAGACACCACATTTAATTAATTCATGATTCTGTCTAATTAGCTTTGATTGAACTGGAAAGCATCAAAAGAAGGTCATACATTATCAGCAGATGTTCATGCAGTGCAGCTGAGTTCTTCAAATCATTAAAAACATCCTACTTTATTTCAATTGAAAACTAAATCAAATCAGATAATCCAAAAGCACACAGAAAACCCACAAAATTAGAAAGGCAAAATTTAAACACAACCCCCAAACTTACAAAAGCAAAATTTAAACACAATATTCATCCCTAAATTGAAAACCACCCATCCAAAAAAATAAATTAGATGCACTAACAAAGCTAAAAAATATGGCCAATATCAAACTCACCTTGATGCCCAGTGGATCTGGAACCATGGTTGGAGAAGAAGAGAGAATGAAGCTGCCCTAAAGGTCACCGAGCATCAGGTTCTGAGTGGGAGGTGAAATAAATTAAAAAAAAAAGGAAATTTCAATCTATTTGTAAATCCAAAATCATAAAACCCCATATTTGAGCAAAACAAAACCCCCAAGATACTCGAAAAACTTACAGGATTGACGATTTCCTGAAAACCAAGCTTTTCTAGGTTAAAAATTTCTTCCCGAAGGCAACAGATCTAACATACTTGGAAAGAAAATTCGATCACGAATTGGAAAAGAAAAAAGAAAAAACTGAGAGTGAGAGAGAGACGAACCTTCATACGGATGCTAGCGATCCGGAGCCCGAGAAATCTGTGGAAGCAAATGGAAGAGCCCTGATTTTCCATTTTTCTTCCGTTCTAGGATGAGAGAAACGGAAGAGATGGGAGTTGTGGCCGCTAGGGTTTGAGAAGGACAGAAACAGGAAGAGTGAGAGATGAGAGAGAGAGTCGGGAGAGGGGGGGGGGGAAGAAAAGGCAGTGGTAATTTTGTAAATAAAGTGAAATTCGACTCAAACATACGGACACAATTATCCTCTTAACTTTTAATAATTACTCTCCAACCCAGACACAGATTTGGTGGCTGTGATGTAAATAAGGCAAAATCAAGGGGGAAAATTTTGACTGTAGCTAAGCTACAGTCAAATCCCTCCTCAATTTTAGAATAGATAATAGTCAAGCAAACTCACCAATTTAAAAAGTGATCTAGAGGGGCAATACATGATAAATTTTACTGAGGCAATACTGAAATTTCTAAAGCAAATTAACAGAGGGAATACATTCGAATTGAAAGCGTTAAAAAGTGAAGTATGGTGGTAAATTTGTAATATCATTTAGCTAGGTTATACTTTTAGTACAGGAGGTGATCACGTAACTTTTTACACAACAGATAAACATAGTACAAAATTAAAGGCAATTGGAGAGATACAACAATTTTATCTTTTCTGGAGATTAACTAAGTATAAAAGGAAGATACAAAACTGGAAGAATCCATCTAGTTACAAATGTTTTATTTTTTCTAAAATTAACGAAGGATAAAAGGAAATTAGAGAATTGAATGGGTTCATCCGAATACAATAATTTTATCTTTTCTGAAAAGAAACAAAAGGATAAAAGAAAAATACGAAATTCAAAGAATCCATCCAGGTATATTAACCTAATATTTTTCTGGAAGTCATTGTCTAGGGTTTCCATACAATGAAATACAACAACAACAACAAAGCCTTTTCCCACTAAGTAGGGTCGGCTATATGAATCCTAGAACGCCATTGCGCTCATTTGTGTCATGTCATCCGTTAGATCCAAGTACTCAAGTCTTTTCTTAGGGTCTCTTCCAAAGTTTTCCTAGGTCTTCCTCTACTCCTTCGGCCCCGAACCTCTGTCCCGTAGTCACATTTTCGAACCGGAGCGTCAGTAGGCCTTCTTTGCACATGTCCAAACCACCGGGACCGATTTTCTCTCATATTTCCTTCAATTTTGGCTACTCCTACTTTACCTCGGATATCCTAATTCCCAATCTTATCCTTTCTCGTGTGCCCATACATCCCACGAAGCATCCTCATCTCCGCTACACCCATTTTGTGTACGTTGATGCTTCACCGCCCAACATTCTGTGCCATACAACATCACTGGCCTTATTGCCGTCCTATAAAATTTTCCCTTGAGCTTCAGTGGCCTACGACGGTCACACAACACGCCGGATGCACTCTTACACTTCATCCATCCAGCTTGTATTCTATGGTTGAGATCTCCATCTAATTCTCCGTTCTCTTGCAAGATAGATCCTAGGTAGCGAAAACGGTCACTTTTTGTGATCTTCGCTAGATTGCTCCGGTCATTAGTGTGGATAAGTATATAAATGGATAGAGATAGGAAAGCAAACACAAGATGTACGTGGTTCACCCAGATTAGCTACGTCCACGGAATAAAGGAGTTCTCATTAATTGTGAAGGGTTTACACAAGTACATAGGTTCAAGCTCTCCTTTAGTGAGTACAAGTGAATGATTTAGTACAAATGACATTAGGAAAAATTGTGGGAGAATGATCTCGTAGCCACGAAACTTCTAAGTACCGGAGTGTGGTATCGTCTTGACTTGCCTTATCTGTCTCATAGATAGATGTGGCATCTTCTCTGGAAGTACTCTTCCTCCATCCAGGGGTGGTATCTGTAACTGGTGGAGATGCACAAGGTAATGTATCAATTTCACTTGAAGCTTACTTGTAGTTTCATGCTTGGTCAAGCGAGATACAAACCATGTAGTAGGAGTCCCCCAAGTCGCCGAGCTGGGGGATCTGCTGAAAGAGGTGACAGACAAGGTAAGCAATCAGAGCTCCGGCTGATTGTTCACATTCTCCCTATCTTGCAGGCAGCATGAAGGATAAAGAGAAGAAAAATGAGGAGATATGATATGGGATACTTTTGCTTTTGAAGAAGTAACTTTCCACAGGCTTATTCTTGAACTGGGCTGGAGGGTTTTCTGGTTTCCTCCAGAGTATAAGGCCGACTGAAGAATTTGAGGGTCAAAACAAGTCCATCAAATCTAGAGTACGTTCGACCCTGCTGATATGGGATACTTTTGCTTTTGATAGAGTAGTGGATGTATCAGCACGTGTGCTGTTACGCTTGTCTCCACATGCTTCCTTGTATCCTTCTCACTTGCCCTATCTGTTCCTCAGGCAGATGCGGTATCTTCCCTGGAAGCATAAGATGTTGAAGATGAGTACTCGAGAGCAATGCCAGGTAAGTAATCAGGTAAGGGGTTCCAGGCAGTCAGTTCCTGGCTGGAAGCTTGATTCCAAGTGCTGACTGATTGCTCTCTTTCTCCTTGTCTTGCAGGTAAGAACAAGGCCAAAGGAAAAGACAGGGAAAAAGCATGATATGGGATACTCTTGCTTTTAACCCTAATGATATGAGATATTCTTGCTCTAGTATAGCTTGTTTACAGAGGTATTATCGGGGGGGGGAAAAAAGCTGAATATTTCGAAAGGCTTTGTTGGGAGTGCCCTCTCAGATAAGAGAAAGGGTTGAGCATTTTTGCAGGTCTGCCTGTTCGTTAGGGATGGAAGTCGACATATATAGGAGTCTCCCTAACATCAAGTAATAATGCTATTCCTTTACCCTGCTTGGTTATAGCACGGTAGTGGGAGATGCCAGCTTCACATGTTTTAACTCTGTCAGAGCACTTTGAAAAAGTGGTTTGTGGTATCTGGAAAGCTGATGTTGCGTGTGAAGATTACAGACCTGTCGGGGGTCTGGCTCTCGAGATTCGGAGAACGATGCCTCTTCGATTTTTGAGAAAGCAATCCTGCTGGGTTTGGCTCTCGAGATTCGGAGAGCGGTGTCTCTTCGATTTTTGAGAAAGTAATCATGTTGGGAGTCTGGCTCTCGAGATTCGGAGGGCGGTGCCTCTTCGATTTTGGAGCAAGCAATCTTGTTGGGAGTGTTTTCTCGAATGAGAGTAAAGGTTGGGCATGTTTGCTAGTCTACCTTGCCACGAAGCACAGAGGTTGACACACAGGGACTTTCCAATTATCCAGCAGTGGTACTGTTCCTTTACCCTCTCTTCGATTTTTGAGAAAGTAATCATGTTGGGAGTCTGGCTCTCGAGATTCGGAGGGCGGTGCCTCTTCGATTTTGGAGCAAGCAATCTTGTTAGGAGTGTTTTCTCGAATGTGAGTAAAGGTTGGGCATGTTTGCTAGTCTACCTTGCCACGAAGCACAGAGGTTGACACACCGGGACTTTCCAATTATCCAGCAGTGGTACTGTTCCTTTACCCTTGTGGGTAATAATATGGTAGCTAGACCTTCAAAATTTATGTGTCTAAACTTTGTTAGTGTTGTTTCTTTGCAATTCTTTTACCCTTCTTGGTCAGAGCGATGTAGTGGGAGCTGCAAGTTTCACGTATCTCAACTTTGTCAGAGAACTTTGGCAAAGTTATCTGTGGTACCCATGAGCTACTGTTGCGTGTGGGAAGTGGGTGATTGAACAGTACGATTCATGTGCTTTCTACTTCGCCAGAAATCTTCGACAGAATGCCCATAATTTCCGCAAAGCTGAGTGTGCGTGTGACAGGTGCTGACAAGGCTGGAAAAGTAGGTGCCTCTTCGATTTCTGAAATTGGCCCTCGTGGTCTCTGAGCAGCCCAGCTTTTGAGAAAGCAAGCCTCTTCGATTTCTGAGATCGGCCTTTGTGGTCTTTGAGCAGCCCAGCTTTTGAGAATCTCTGAGCAGCCCAGCTTTTGAGAAAGCAAACGCCTCTTCGATTTCTGAGCAGGCGCCTCTTCGATTTCTGAAGCTTCGTCGAGTGCAGATTTTTATAGGGGCTGACATTAAGTTCCAAAGCACACTTGAATATCCACCAGTAGAAGCTCCATTCTTGCACTTCTAAGATCTTGATTTGTCCGACCTCTTCTCTCTGCAACACCTTTGAAAATGTCTGGCCCCTCCGACCGTCGTTTTGACTTGAACCTTGTTGAAGAGGCAGCCCCGCCTTCTCCAAACAACATATGGCGCCCATCCTTCGTCTCCCCTACTGGTCCTCTTACCGTTGGGGATTCCGTGATGAAGAATGATATGACCGCTGCGGTAGTGGCCAGGAACCTTCTCACTCCCAAAGATAACAGACTACTTTCCAAACGGTCTGATGAGTTGTCTGTTAAGGATTCTCTGGCTCTCAGTGTTCAGTGTGCAGGTTCTGTGTCTAATATGGCCCAACGCCTATTTGCTCGAACCCGCCAAGTTGAATCATTGGCGGCTGAAGTGATGAGTCTTAAACAGGAGATTAGAGGGCTCAAGCATGAGAATAAACAGTTGCACCGGCTCGCACATGACTATGCTACAAACATGAAGAGGAAGCTTGACCAGATGAAGGAATCTGATGGTCAGGTTTTACTTGATCATCAGAGATTTGTGGGTTTGTTCCAAAGGCATTTATTGCCTTCGTCTTCTGGGGCTGTACCGCGTAATGAAGCTCCAAATGATCAATCTCTGATGCCTCCTCCTTCTAGGGTTTTGTCCAATACTGAGGCTCCAAATGATCCCCCTCCGGTGCCTTCTCTTTCTGGGGCTCTACCGACTGTTGAGACTTCTCCTAAGCAACCTTTGTGAAGGCTCCCTCTTGTTTGTTTATTTTGACTCAAGTATATGTACATATTTGTAACTTATCGGGGATATCAATAAATAAGCTTTCCTTCATTTCAACGTATTGTGTTAAATACACCAAAGCCTTCTTCGCTAAGTTCTTTGAATTTTCTTTTGTTGAAGCTTGTATGTTGAAGCTTTGTGAGTGGAGCATATAGGTTGAGGTAGTGTTTCCTTAATTTCCCGAGTGAGGAAAACTTCTCGGTTGGAGACTTGGAAAATCCAAGTCACTGAGTGGGATCGGCTATATGAATCTTAGAACGCCATTGTGTTCTGTCCTGTGTCATGTCCTCCGTTAGATCCAAGTACTCTAAGTCTTTTCT